GGTACATGGGTCTTGGACTTTGGGGTGCAGGCTATATCTCTGTGTACAGACACATGGAATATGTCTCTGAGGGAAATGCTGCCTCTAGGGAAAGGAAAGTGCGATATCCATTGTCCCAGGGAGGAACCCATAAGCCCAGGAGTCCATGGAATATCCCAGAAGCATGTTTATGTTGAGATAACCAGTATGTAGGGGCCTGTTGGTGATGCTGGCAAGGTGGTAGGATTAATCTGACAACTGATGATAGCTAGGATTTTTGTAGAAGTGATTCTGGAACTGGGAGAGCTTATTGAATTAGGCATGCCCTCCTAATTTCAAGGTTTGCTTTCTGCCTTTGTTTCAGACACTCCAGGGCAGAGGCTCTCCTTTGTGGGGCCTGTGGGACCACTTTTGCCCCATACCTTCATTAGTAGCTCTGGTCTCCTGCCAGCCTTCTTGGTTCTACTTGCTTCTCATCCCAGGTCTGCATTTGCCACGGCAGCCCTCTGTACAAGAGTAACTTCTGGTCCTGCCAGGTGGTTACTAGGTGAAAACTTTCCTGCTTCTCCTGTGTAGTGGCCTTTTGGGGGGACAACCTGAGGGAGGACATGGAGCTAGCAGTAGGGACTAGCTTCACCAGACTGTCAGCTGTGGGTGCGGTAGCTTTCATGTATTGGCGCTGCTTCTTGGGCCCTTATATCCTTGCAGTACTACTCCAGCAGGGTTGGATGTCCTGGTTGGTTTCATCAAGCACATGTGATAGTCAGGGCCCATCTTTGTGTCTGTCTCTTCTTGTGAAGTTTCCTATGCTGGTTGGTCTCTGCAGTCAGACCCCCTTCCACCCTCTGGGGCAAGTTCTGAGGACCTAGGCTTCTATGACTTTGCCTCAAAAACTTGCATGTTGCCTCCTCTTCATTCTTACATTCAGAGTGAGCTATAAAACCTGCTTAGGACTGAAGGGGTTCTGAGTGTGGGAGGTACAGGTTAGTTGAAATGAGCCACCTCTACCTGACTCTGTAGTCCTGGGTGGACCCATCATTGGGTTTGACAATGTGGTTCTTTGTACAGGGTGCTGTCAGCTGTGAGCATTAGGTGACTTGACACCTAATCTGTGACATGCCTTGACATCCACAGACATCCTCAACTCTGTAAACAAAGGCTGGCCACATCCAAGGTGGATGGGCTGGAGATATTTTTGAGGCACAGGTGGTTTGAAGTGACTTGCTCTGGGGTTTACAAGAAGGTGTCAAGGAGGGAGTATGGTGAAGGCAGGATAAGCCCACACAGGAAGTGTCTGTGGTAGGAGTTGGGGTATGCACAACCTGGGGGGGGGGTTGGCCTGGGAGGTGTGGGCAGCTCCTAGGGAGGGGGCAGTCTGGCTGAGTTCAGGATGAGTGTTTGAGGAACTTAGCTCACAAGCGTCCTTTAAGTAGCTCCATACCTGGCTTGAGTTTTCATTGAGCCACAGTTTTAGGGTCACCTCTATCCCTGGTGTGTGCAGGGCTCTTGATTTTGTGACTGTGCAGACTTTGAGTGAGTCCAGGAAGAATGTGCTTCATGCCTACACTGAGAAGTTACCTTGTGCTTTGTGTGTGGATGCACTCCCACTTACGTCCCTTCTCCTTCCTGGATGTGGGTCTGTTCCTCCTTATGCACCTTAAGGACTGAGCCACCTTTTATCTGGGAATTAACCCCCACTGCCTGCATAGTACCAGCTTTCTTAGGTTGGTTGCAGCAAACATAAATGAGTGAAGGGTGTAGATGACGTTTTACCGTCCCTTATCAGGCTGTTCAAGGGCCATGGTGCCCAGGATACTTTCTCTGTTCCTTTGGTGACTCTTTTACCTGGTATAGCTGGAGGGCACTGACCACTGGGTGGTGAGCAGCCTTACTCTATACCCTTGTGAAATTAGACTTAACAATCCCATCTTCCCTCCAGACAGATCATGAAACTGTTGTTTAGTCAGGGCTGCATCCAGTGCTTTTTCCTTTGTTATCTAAAGTTTCCTTTGATCATATTTTACTTACTAAGGGCTTCTGAAGTGACCAGGAGAGGATTATTGGGTGTACCCTGAAATCATGTGGCTTCCAAGTAAAATGGTACCTCCCCCTCCCTGCCTCCTGCATGTCCAATACCCACCCTATCCCCAGCACTGTGGCCAGGGTTCTTATGCTCTCCAGCCTAAATAGTTTGATAATTTAACTTTTTTAAAGAATGCCTGCAATAATTTTAAGCATTTGTCAAAGGGGTATCTTTCCCAAAGTAGAGAATTCTGGGAGGATTTGAGAAATTGGAAGACCTTTCACTTTACAAACTAAACTTGGGGCTGTTTGTCTTGTTGGAAAGTGGAAGGGCTGCTTGCCTCTGTGTGTATAGGAAAGGCACCACCACAGGCCTCACACACAGGAAGTGCTGCAGTCGGCCCTGGGAGTGAACTGGCACCTCCATTTTCTGACATCACCTGCATCCTACCTCACTTCTCAAAATGAAGGCTGTGTGTCACAAACCGGTTAGAACTGGCTGTTGCCATGGTTTTTACTTTGGAAGGCACAGTTAAGGGGTCACATGATTGAGAAGGGAAATGCCTTTGTCACATGACGTTTTTGGTGGCCTGATTAGCATACAGGAAGCTCACTCCCTGCTGGCTGCTGGGATGCTGAGTGATCATTGATGGGAGGTGACATCAGTTCTTGGACTAGTTATTGATCAGTCTCAGGGCCAAGATGGCCCTGATATACTGTGGTCAGAGTGTGTCTCTCAGTCCTATGCCTGTACATATCCCTCAAGCAGATTTGAGCTGTTTTAAGCTACTTACTTACCTTTGGAAAGCGTACATGATGAGATGACTATCTATAAGGTGGGTCATCTCAGTCGCAGTCTGTAACTCTAGATGTGCTCTTTGGAAAGCTACTTGGGAGCTTCCTTGGGTTGGTCCTTGCATCCACAGAATGTGAATTAGAATATCGAGGTCATCTGAAACTCAGGTGGAGTGGGATGGTCAGCCAGAGACAGATAGGAAGAGCAGGAACAAATCCCAAATTTGTACTGGGACTGTTGGCTTCATGAGACCCAAGTGAGATGTCCTGCATGACTATAAATATTACTGGATTTGAGATTATCACTGATACTTGATTTTACCAATTGGGTATGGTGTTTTCTACCATGCTGTTTTCTTCTGAGAGGACTGACAGTCATACTGATTAAATCAGACTGCGTGCAGGAGAATTGAGGTGCAGTGCTTGTGGTGGGGTGGGAGGGTAGAGTCTAGGTGGAATCAACAATCCCTCAGTAGCTGGTACTCTTCCCCCTTTTCCCTTAGAATGCAGTGCACTTCATAGGTGGGAAGGGCTTTTTCAGGTCCCAGATATCGCCCCTCCCCATTCAGCCACTCAGGTCCCACAGGATGAATGGGAAATCCCAAATTTATTCCAAGTAACTTCAGTCAGAGCTCTGGAACATAGAGCCACCTAGTGGACACATTTGGTCCTGGCCATCTTTCCTGCCAACCAAGGAGGGGATTCCTTAACACAAGTGCTGAGTCCAAGATCTTAAGGGAAAGTTTGTTGTTACCTTAGCTCACCAAGTTGCTTGTTTTGGTCATGGACCTTGATTGAAGATGAGGTGCCATTTCTGGGATGCTCAGTTCTCATAGCTTGGGGTCACATCACTGTAGTAGCAGCTCAGCAGCAACCTTTATGCAGTATGTCCTCAAAATCTTTGGCAAGAGGGGAAGGCAAATGTCACATGTTCCTACTTGAGTCTAAGTCATCTCTGTACACTCAGACATTAGTGAACTTGTCATGACAGGGTAGTAGGAGGAAGACTTGAGTGGCATTTTACAGGTGTGACTTGTTAGCCTTCTCTGCTCAAAGAGGAGCAACAGGCAAGTCCCCCACAGCATTGAGCTCCCAGAACGGTACAAGCCATAAGTGGAGAGTGAATTTATCACAAAGGAGTGTAGACTGAAATGATGGGTGTTTCAAGGTGCACTTTGAATGGTGACTTGTAAGGTAGGCGGAGCTGGGGTAAGAGGTCAAAGGATAATGGGCAGAGTGGCCTTGGCACCAGCAGGACAGACTAGTCCATGCAGTGTTAGAGTATGGGGGTAGGGGTGACTGGAAACAAGTTTGAGCAGTTGCATACTCAGCTCTATTCTGTAGTCCATTTCAAAACATGAACTCTGCTTCTCTGAACTGGCTAGAGAAAGAAACCCTTGTGGCCCAGAAAGGAGTATCCAGCAGCCAGCCTTGGCCACCTTGGGATGGTGTAACACCTGTGCCTGGGAGTGCAGGTAGTGGCTGGAAGCATGTAGAAAAACCCTTCTGTCCATCAACGAATGGGTAGCCGTTCAGGTGTGAGGACTGCCCTTCATATCAGGTGACTTGCAGCACAGGCAGGTCCCTACTTTGTGAGGTACACATGTACCAGCAGACAGGAGCCCCAATGGGGCAGGAATCCAGTGCCCAGAACAGTGCCTAGGAATCCAGAACATTTTTACCTGACATCAAGCTGCATGATAGAGGAGGGAGCTACAGTGTGTTTCAGGTGTTTAGAAATTGGGGACATGGAGGTGGGCGTGAAGAACCGTCTTTTTTTTTTTTTTTTTTTTAAGATTTTATTTATGCATACATATATGCATATAGGCCACAGGTATGGGGGTGGTGTGGTGTGAAAGGACTCACCAGAGACAGTGGGGAGAAGAACAGGCAGAGCAACTGAAAAATACACTGCTGAGGGGAGCAGTGGGCAAGACAGGAGAGGTCTGCTGCACCGTGTGAATTTAGCTCTTTGACCAGGCATCAGACTCACCTTCATAGTGCTGAGACTTAACTCCTTGTGCCTCCGAGGCCCATTCCCAGCTTTTGAGGGTCTGGTAGTAAACTGGTGTTGCTGGTGAGCATAGTAAGGACAGCCAGGTGGTCAGCTCACCAGTTCCTGGGTCTGTGTCTAAACCAGACACTTGTGGGATATAGGTAGGCACTGCTGGTCCTCTGGTTACACCTGTGTCTTTGTTTTGCAGTGACATGAAGTCGGAGAGGAGAGCCCCCTCACCTGATGTGATTGTCCTCTCTGACAATGAGCAGCCTACCAGCCCACGGGTGAATGGACTGACAAAGGAGGTCTCGAAGGAGACCAACACTGAGGCCCTTCTGGTAAGCTATTACCTGATGGCACCCCATATGGAGCTGGCCACAGAGGGCTTTCTCCCCGGCTCCCCTCAACACTATCCCCTTGCCCTTGCAGAAAAGCAGTCCTGAGGAACGAGAAAGGATGATTAAGCAGCTGAAAGAAGAGTTAAGATTAGAAGAAGCAAAACTTGTCTTATTGAAGAAGTTGCGTCAGAGTCAGATACAGAAGGAGACTACCACCCAGAAGGTGTGTGTGTGTATCCATTCCCTCATTCAGGGTCATTGGGAACTAAAAGCCTCATTGGGGAGGCTGGGGTGCTATAATTTTGGGGGGGGGGCCTGAACTGAGGTCCAGGGTCTAAATAGAAAGTTGTGGTTCAGATTTTGGATTTAGCTAAAAGGATGTCAGACTAGAAGGCTTTCCGAGTATATCTTGTTCTAGAATATTCTGGATCCAAGTATGTGGAAGCTCATTTCTCATAGACTAGAAACATCAAGGAAACCGAGCAGATGACTTGGGAACTTCTGGAAGCATGGTTCCTGGTTTAGAGCTTTGTGCGGAGCCTGTTTCCCCAGAGTTTCTTCTGCTCCTACTGGGGCCTGCCACACAGGACTCACCTCAGAGACCATATCCTGGGGCATCTGCTCCTGCCACCTGTCCTGGTGCCTTAAGCTTTCTGTTGTGCTACTTCTAAACTCAGTATACAATGTAGTACAAGATCAAATCTGTTTCTTGGTGCTCTTTCTTTTACTTTAACCACTTTCCTTGTAAACCATAAAGTTCAAGCAGAACTTTCATGTTTAAGAGCTCATATTCCCTGTAAGGATAAGGAGGATACTCACTGATCTGACCTGGGGTTTGTTTGAACACACACCCACCCAGACAGTTAGCTTCATGTCCATATACCTCTTGATGGCTAAATTTGTCTGTCCTGTGTTCCCTGTCAGTCGTTGGAGACTCGGTGAAGTGACCTAGTCTGCCATTGTCCCTTCTCAATGGAAATGTACTTTCTGGTTCCAAAGGCTGGACTAACTTTTCTGGTCCATGTCCTTTCTCATCACTTCACCACAAAGTGATGCCAAGTGTCCCCCGTGGGTGAGGGGTGCTTGAAATCTTCCTGTTGGCCATTTTAAATGTGTCAGTTCTTGGGAAGAATCACAAAGTCACTTACCAGGCTGGAGGCAGAACCTTTGAGAGCCTGGTACCTTTGAAGGGGAAGAAAATCAATTCTCTGTCAGATTTTGTGTAGTGGGGATGGGGTATGGGGGAGGCTGGTGGCCCTCTCATCTCCCGAATGTCCTGTTCTCTCACAGCCCGCAGGCTCCACCGGGAGCTCTGTGACCACCCCTCCCCCACTTGTGCGGGGCACGCAGAACATTCCTTCCAGCAAGCCATCACTTCAGGTTAGTGTCCCCTGTATAGCCCCAATCAGCTCCTGCAAAAGGCTGCCTGTTGTTTCTGAGTTAGCCAGAGTGAAGCCTTCCCTCTGGCAGCCCAAAAAGTAAATCATCTTTGTGGTCCTAAATTATGAGGCCCAAACGAAGCCATCATTATTAGCATCCTAAATAATAAGTTGGGGTGGGCCCTCTCCCCCTCCCATCAACACCCTTGGGAAACTAGAGAGATCTGAGGTCCCAGACTTGACTAGATTCCCTTTGTCACAGTTCCCAGGGGTGGTCACGGGGTCTGATTACACCAAGTCTTGACCTTGTTCATGGTCTCCTCTGCCAATGAGGTGAGATGTGCAATGCACCCAAGCTTGAGCCCTGACTCAGGCCAGCAGAGCGGTGGCACAGATCCTGGCTGGCTGGACGTGGGTGTTTGCATGCGTATGCGCACACATGATTGCTCATGCACTCCTGTGCTCCTTGGTGGAGCTCACTCCTGAGTGAGCCCAGGTTTGTGGGCTCCTATCAGAGTCTGCATTTTTATTCTTCACGATTAGAATAAATAGACATTTTAAATTTTTTTTTAATGGCCCCTTTAAACAATTATGTCCTTTTACAAAAGTAAACCTCTTGTTAAAAAAGCTGTGTCAGCTCTGGGGTTGGTGTCATTGACAGACTTCCTCAACTCGAATGCCTGGCAGTGTCATCCCACCACCTTTGGTCCGTGGTGGCCAGCAGGTGTCCTCGAAGCTGGGGCCACAGGCAAGCTCGCAGGTCGTCATGCCACCACTCGTCAGGGGGGCCCAGGTGAGCTGGGCACTGAGGGGGGCAGCCCAAGCAACTGTCCCCCTCACAAAAACTACCCCTCCCTCTGCCATCCTGCTCACCATCTTGTCTTCCATCCTACCCCAACAGCAAATCCACAACATCAGACAGCATTCCAGCACGGGGCCACCACCACTCCTCCTTGCCCCTCGGGCATCTGTACCCAGTGTGCAAATTCAGGGACAGAGGATCATTCAGCAGGGTCTCATCCGTGTCGCCAATGTTCCCAGCACCAGCCTGCTTGTCAACATCCCCCAGGTGAGAGTGCTGCAGCTGTCCCCTCCAGGACCCATGACCCTAGGGATTGTCTTCAAAACATGTGATTTGACCTACCTTGTTTCCTTAGCTAGATGAAACCTAGGACACCCCATGGGGTGTGTGTCTTCATGCAGGGGTGCTTTGTTCAGATCTGTTATCTGGCAGAGATGTCTTGGAGGAGGCAGACCTGGGCTGAAATGGGGAGGCAGCTTCAGGAGGCATATGGGGCCAGCAGGTTTGGGGAGATAGAGTAGGCTAGTTGAGTCATCCTGTGGACTTATAATAATGGGGTGTGCCCCTGTAGGCACTAGGGCTCCCTTTCTGCTACAGGCATAGCATATGAGGAATCCTTATAACACTTGACATGTGTGTTCTTAGCTACATACACATCACTTACCTTTACACAGAGCTTGAACTGAGGAGAGTCTGTCCTCCGAAGAGCTGGGAATTGGGACCAGTGAGTGGTGGATAGGCTAGGAAGAGGAGCCCCATTGTAGATAAAATGACAGTCTAATAGGGCTATGTTGATAGCTACGCGGATTGCACATTTTCTTTGGGTGCTGTGCATCCTTACCAGTCTCCTCACATGTGACATGGCCAGTAGGGATCTGGGAAGCTTCCTTACCTCCTTCAAAGGGAGAGTATTTTTTTTTTTTAAAGATTTATTTATTTGTACATACAGAACTGGGGTACAGGCCAGAGGCTCAGGGTCTATGAGAGGTTTCACCAGAGACAGAGTGGGGAGCAGAACAGGCAGATCGATGAAGTACACTGCTGAGGGGAGCAGTGGGCAGGTCAGGAGAGGTCTGCCACGCCATGTGGTCACCTCCGGGGCAGGTGGGAATCGAACCACGCAGAAGTGGCTTTAGCTTCTTAGTGCTGCGCCACCAGGGAGAGCCCTATGGTAGTTTTTTTTTTTTTTTTTTTTTTTTTTTTTGTGCATTTTTCCATCTCAGTTGCAATCCCCTTGGGTTTCCCATCACCAAATCACCCATGTGCCATCACCCATAGTCCAGTGCATTTCAAGGGAAGGTCTTTTTTAAGAAAGAACAAAAATTTATTTTTGTGTAGAAGAATTGGGGTCTAGGCCAGAGGTGTGGAGATCAGGTGATTACCAGAGACATGAATGGGGAGCTAAACAGGCAGGTTTACTGCAATACAGTACTAAGGGAAGCAGCTAGTGAGACAGGAGAGGTCTGCAGCACCATGTGGGTCAGCTCCCTGGCTGGGGATGGAACTCAGGCTGTGCAGAGGGCCGTTCATAGTGAGATTTAACCCCTAGGCCACCAGAGAGGCCCTAAAGGTAGGTCTGACACAGTCGTACTACCCTTGAGGAGCAATTTCATCCATCTGTAACTCTTTGCCTCATTCTGTATGCCCACAGCTCTCCACCTTGAGGATGGAGCTGGGGCAACTGTAGGGGCAGGCTGTCAGGGTTCTTCCATGGATGCTCAGCTGTGGAAACCCTTTTTGAGACTGGGAGTCTTGGGAGGTATACAGGATCCTTGAGTTGTGTGATGTGTTGTGTGTAGGTTATTGGGCAAGGGCTATGGTCTGTGGGTTTGGAGGAAGAAGCAATGTTGGGGTCAAATGTCCTGGAGCAGGGAGACAGGGAATGTTGTTAAAGTGGTGTGAGGGTGGGGGGGGGAGAAGGGGGCATACACCGGTATCTAGAGACCACTTTGAGTGGAAGTCAAGTAATAGTGATAGGACTGTGACTGTGTTCTTTGTGGGGATAATTGCCTGGGAGCACTATTGTCCTGGTTGTGGTAGATGGCTTCTTGGGTCTCCTTATGGCAAATTGCAGATTTGAAATGTGTATGGTTCACTGGACATCAGCTAAGCCTTACCAAGTCTGCTTACCAGACTGGTCATCTCATGAGATGTTGCAAGCGCTAACTCTTAAGGATTGTTAGCCAGTACAGTGAATGGCACTATTTCTGGGTAGTGGGTGCAGGAAGGGTTGCCTGCCTCAGGGCAATACTCAGTGTTCTGATCATTTTCTTATCTCCCTAAAGCCTTCTGCAGCATCACTGAAAGGCACGACAGCCACCTCTGCTCAAGCCAACTCCACCCCCACCAGTGTGGCCTCTGTGGTCACTTCTGTTGATTCTCCAGCTAGTCGGCAGGCGGCTGCCAAGCTGGCACTGCGTAAGCAGCTGGAGAAGACACTGCTTGAAATTCCACCACCTAAGCCCCCTGCCCCTGAGATGAACTTCCTGCCTAGTGCTGCAAACAATGAGTTCATCTACCTAGTGGGGCTGGAGGAAGTGGTGCAGAATCTGCTGGAAACACAAGGTGAGGTCTCGTCAGTCCCTCCCCTGGAATTCCCTTTACATGGGTTATATCCAGTGTATGGCTTATATTGTGTGCTGAGCCATCTGAGTACTTCTTACAGGTATTTGGTTGTTAGTCCTGCTTTCTATGAGGTTGGATAACTTCTTAAACATAACAGGCACCTTCTGTTGGGGCCTTTGAGAACCAACCTGAGGCTCCAAGCTTATGAGCCAGAGGAACAGGCAACCACAGCTCTGGGACTTTTGATGTGTGGAAGGCAGACAGGACAGGAACATTCCACTAGGCCTCCCTGAGACTGTCCCAGGTGTCAGCACTAGTTGGTGACAATAAATGTTTGCAGGACACAGAGACATCATTGGCAGGATTTGGCTTCCTGGTACCTGTGCCCCTTAGGGGTGGTGGGATCTGACTGGCCTGCTAACCCCCTTAACCCCTTGACCAACTCACTTGTTTTCCAACAGCAGGCAGGGTGTCAGCTGCAGTCGTGTTGTCCCGGGATCCCTACATGTGTGCACAGTGCAAGACAGACTTCACATGCCGCTGGCGGGAGGAAAAGGGGGGCGCCATCATGTGTGAAAACTGCATGGCATCCAACCAGAAGAAGGCACTCAAGGTGGAGCACACCAGCCGGCTGAAGGCTGCCTTTGTGAAGGCGCTACAGCAGGAACAAGAGATTGAGCAGCGCCTCCTGCAACAGGGTGCTGCCCCTATGCAGGCCAAGGCGGAGTCAACTGCCCCACATCCCACATTGAAGCAGGTGAGAGTCCAGCCCTGCTCTGACCACGTGCCAGTGGCCTTGTTCCAAGGATGAGACCTCACTCCCTCTGCGGGGAGCTGTTGTTGGCAGGCAGGATATTCCAGAGTTCTGTCCACACTCAGCCATCATCTGCCTGTTTGTTAATTGTGTGTCTAAATTGCATTTAATGGTGGTGCTTGGCAGTGAAAATACTAATTTGCAGTTTCTTTAGACTTTGTAGCTTTCACTGCAGTGTGCTGGCTGACAAGTACTTCTTGTCTGAAAGGATTTTTTTTTAAATCCACAATGAGAGATTAAAGGGGCGTTTGGAAGAAATGTTCTAGCTAAATTAAGGAGAGAAGCAAGTTTGAAATCAAGTTTTTGATTACTTTTTTTATGCTTTATTCCCTACCCCTATGGATCCAAAGCTCCCCGTTCGCAAATTTTTGTGTCCTTCATAGTCATTTGCAACTCCACTAAACATATCTTCTCAAGATTTCTACTTGGGAAATGGCCTGGCCTGTGTCACCTGGGCCTGACTCTGCCACAGCTGCTCTCTTTGTTCACGCTGGGCCATTCTAGGTTGGCTCATGGACAGTGCTGACCTTAATTTCAACCCCCATTTGTGTAGGTCATAAAACCCCGGCGTAAGTTGGCGTTCCGCTCAGGAGAGGCCCGCGACTGGAGTAACGGGGCTGTACTACAGGTCAGAACTGCATTGTGGGAGCCCGGGCACCATGCCTCCAACTAGCCCCTCACACTCAGACTGTGACTCACTGTCTTTCCCCCCCACCCGTCCCCCTGCACTCCCCTCCATTTCCACTCTTTCTTGGTGTCACTTAACCTGGTCTCCTGATTTTGGACTTTGGGGACTCTGGGTGGGTGGGCGGAGATTGGCAAGAGCAAGGAGAGGCTTCACTGAGCACCTCACCCTCTCATCCTTTCCTCATGTGAGCTGTTTGCCCTCTCTTCAATGTAGGCCTCCAGCCAGCTGTCCCGAGGCTCGGCCACGACTCCCCGAGGTGTCCTGCACACGTTCAGCCAGTCACCCAAACTGCAGAATTCAGCCTCGGCCACAGCCCTTGTCAGCAGGTCAGGTAGACATCCAGAGAGGGCCGTGAGCTCTGGCAAGGGCAATGCCACCTCCAACTGGAAGAAGGCACCCCTGAGCACAGGTAAGTGGCTCTATTGGCCTCAGAGTGGGATATGCTGTGGGAGGGTCCTTCCTTATTTCTTTTAATTCCCCGCCCCCACATATTCCCCTTCCTTATTTTTTTTTTTAAAGATTTATTTATTCATATGTAACTGGGGTACAGGCCAGAGATGCGGAGGGTGAGAGGATTCACCAGAGACAGAGAGGGTAGCAGAACAGGCAGAGCGATGAAGTACACTGCTGAGGGGAGCAGTGGGCGGGTCAGGAGAGGTCTGCCTCACCATGTGGCTCTCCTCCAGGGCTGGCGGGATTTGAACTCATGCAGTAGTGGCTTTAGCTTCTTGGTGCTGTGCTTTAACCCACTGCGCCACCAGGGAGGGCCCCCCATCCTTATTTTTAACAAAGATGTGCACATGGAACACAAAGTGTGAATGGAAGTGACACAAAGGCCCCTTGACCCTCAGCCCTTCTCTGTGAGAGCTGCTGCGTCTCACTTGGCATTGAATCTCTTCTTTGTGCAAAGCAAGATGCCATGAACAAGTGATGGGATTGGATGCTAATCCTCTCCCTACCTGCTCTCTACCTAGACTTGCAGCCTTTGACCCAGAGTCGTTTTCTGGCTCTCTCTACCACATTGGGTGGTACAGTGTGCAAAATAGAGCAAGGGCATGGGAAGCAGGGTCCTGAGGCAGGGTGTTGGGTCTCAGTGGGGTAGTGAAGGGCTTAATGAAAGAGACAACTGCCCCTGAAGGGTTGACTGCATCTCTTAAGAGGAGGCAGCACCCCCATTTTATATAATAGTTTATTTTTATGTCATTTTGTGCCTTTTTCCATCTCAGTTGTAATCTCCATGGAGTTGTTTTTGTTTTTTGGATGAGTGGAAAAGTCAAGTGTGAGTGTGTGCGTGTGCATGCACACACACACAGTAATAGCAACCAGCTAAAAGCTGATGTGTGTTTAAGGTGAACCTGAAAGGGAACATGAGGTTGTAAGATCAGAGGTCAGTGTCACTGCATAAGGAGCACTTCCAGAAAGAGGTCCACCACTGCTCCTGGTTACCGCAGGTGTCACAGTGGTGAGCAGGTGTTGGAGATCTGGCCTTCCATGGGTTCGTCCATCTGACCTCAGAACACTAGTTCCCTGAAATGTGCTAATCTCCACCAAGAATGCACTTGAGTAAATCAGTGATGGGGGCCACTGCAGCTCAGTACCAATCCTCACTCACCCCTTTGCCAAAAATTGTTTTTTTTTGGGGGGGGGTCAGGTCTTCATTTCCAAAGACAAAAATGACACTTGCTAATCATGGCTTTTGGAGAATACAAAGGGAAGATAGCAATGACAGTACTTTCTACCCCAAGAACAGACACTGCATTTTGGAACTGCTTCCCCAGCCTGCCTCTGCACTTGACTGTCTGTGTGTAAGCAGGTGTCCACAGAAGGCACTGGGCAGGTCTAATGTTGCATAGTACTCCATCATGCTGGCTCACAATGTGCAGTGCTTCATTGTCTGAACAACACAGTGGTAAACTTCTTGGCTAGCTGATGCAGTCTGATTATTAATATTACATAATCTGTAGGGTTATTGCAACAGAGGTTGGCCATGTCTAGAAGGCTCTGAGTCCTTCAGTTCTTTTAAGCCTGTTTGAGTCCCTGAATCCAACTGGCCAGAGGAGGCACAGAGCCTTCAGACACCTTGCCTTGACAGACCATCTGTTCTGTTGCAGGAGGGGCCCTTGCATTTGTCAGCCCGACCTTGGCAGTGCACAAGACCTCCTCAGCTGTGGACCGCCAGCGGGAGTACCTCCTAGACATGATCCCACCACGCTCCATCCCCCAGTCGGCTACATGGAAATAGATCAAGCCAGCCCAGTGGAGCATAGTCTCCCTTCGTCCTCCTGCCTGGCCCTGTCACCCTCTGCCCGGGAAGACTGCTCCTGAGAGAGCAAGTGAGCGCACTGCCTCTGTTCCTGGCTGCAGTCGCCTTGCGGTTGGAGGCCACTTCACAGGTGGATGAGGCTCATCACTGGGGGATCTTTCCCGTGGGCTTTCTTCCTTTCTTTGCCTTTAGTTTGCCCAACACCAGCAGAAAAGTGGGCCTGGGGGCTGGTTCTGCTCCTGGCCCTCCCCTTCGCCCCTGGCAAGGCACCGGGTGTTCAGTCTGGACACTGTGACATGCTTGGGCGAGGCCAGCGCCCAGGGCTTCTGAAGTTGAGCGGAGCTTTCTATTTGTTTTCGCTTATCCCCGTCTTAAGCCTCCCAATCTCTGACTGCCTTCCTTCATGGCAATCTCTAGGCTGAAAGATTTTTTTCAAATCACCTCATGATGATGGAGTTTAAAGTAAACCATTCAGACCCAGGGGTCCCTGCCGAGCATGGCCCCCACACCCCAGAGGGTGGGCCACACACAGCGCCCCAGCCTCCATTGGATGGTCACCTAGCCCTCGCTGTTGCTGCTTGTCCTGGAGGGCCCTGCCACACTTAGCAGAACAGCCAGAGAACCCAAGATTCTGGAAGCTGCACCACCTTCGGAGGAGAGAGGCATGAATCGTCAGTGGAGTCCACAGGCCTGAGCAGAAAGTTGGAGGAGGGAGGGCTGTTGTGTTTTTGTTGTTCTTGTGGTTTATTTTATTAAATTTTTTTCCTTTTCTTTTCCTACTTATTTTAACGGATGACATCCTAAGCCTCCCTGGCCTGTGCTCATATCAGGTGTGTCCAAGTGGGGCAGCATTCCTGTCCCCCCAGACTTCAGGGTTTTTGTTTGGGTCTAGTGTAGAACCTTCCCATAAAGCTGGGCAAGGGTTCACCTTCAGACTTTTTTTTTAACCCTCTTTAGAGTGTGCAGAAATGTTTTACAAAGGATCAGGTTTGCCCTTAGTTGTGCTTTATTTTGGTCTCTCCCTCTCCTTAACAATCGGTTCCGTGAGGAAAGTCAGAAACTGTGTGTGTGTGTGTGTGTGTGTGTGTGTGTGTGTGTGTGTGT